CGGTGGCAACAACAATACTACAGCGAGAATCAAAGTTACGCCTTCTTTCTTTGCGTGAACATTTGGGCGGTGTTATGCAAATCTTCCCACACAGTGACATGTGGGGGCGTGTTTAAACGAGGCGTTTTAGGAGGGCGTGGACGAGTCTTAACTTTTATAAAGAATATATCTTTTGGTTTGAGACTTTAGTCTTTGCAACTTTAGGGATCTTATCTATTCACAAACAGCTTGTAACACTCCAAAGAGAAAGGAAAACTTGAAATCGCATCATATGACCCCTTTAAACATGAATATACACACCTGCAATGGCTGTGGCCGTCTGGATAGGGTAATTCTGCTGTGCGAACGGCTTCACACTGAGGAACAACAGAGGTGATTATCACAAGGTGTCATTTTTAGTGAAGAATCTGTTTGTACACGTTTTATTATGTACAAACTCAGCCATGTATATTTAAGTCAATCTAAGTTATATACACTTACTCTTGTGAGGAACCAGGCTGCCCTGTTGACACTTGCCAAATCTAGAAAAGGAGGAAAAAGTATTGCAGTGTTATAGTGTAAAACAATACCAATGCATGATGGGTATATTCTTCTGCTTGTCCTTTAAATGGACACTAATGGTTTTAAAGTGGTCTGGGGCATCTCGTACCCCTGTCGCCACAGGCAAGGTGGGTCGAGGGAGTCCCGCGAGCCCCAGCCGGCTGTGGATGGCCGTGGCCGAGACGATCTGCGCTGAAGACATGGCCGCCATCCTGTTGATCGCATCATTCTTCACGGTCTGGTCCTTCAACGACAGAGAAGATTTAGCTCCTGCACTGTTACTGCTATAAAACCTATTCTTTTATTAGATGAAATAAAATCGAACCCTGGCTCAAGGGCAAAGGGTCTCATAATTTCTTTAAATGAATTAGTCTTCTTAAGACGTGACGCTGTGAAAAATAAATAATGCCCATTTAAACGGCTCTACCATGCTTCACTATACAAGCTAAATGGGAAAATAGTTTTGCCATTGACCTTTGAATCTGAAAATGGAAAATGTTAAAAATGAATAAACTAAAGAACTTCTGTGTCACCTTAATATTTACTTTCTATACAAAACTTAAATAGTTTTATGTAAGCACTGAATACTGCATATAGCAGAGATAAACTGTACGTGAGGAACTCAAAGCTGTAAAAAAAAAGAACTTTATGAGTCAGATACTACGACATGTGAATTGCTTTCAATCGACAAACACTTTAGGCCACCAATATCCCTCAAATGTTGCCGTAACTAGAGAATGCACAGCACGTAAAGCATGTGGTTTGATTTGATTTTATGCACAATGCTGTTGTTTGCTTTTATCATCATCACTCTTAGTTATTTGTTGTGTGGTGATTAATACTCATTTACTTTCATGTTTGTTGACAAACTTATGTGTATAAATACGCCTTATATGTGAGCTCTGTTAAGCAGTCAGCTACAGCGCATGAAAGCAGCAGTCAGACAAACTGTCTGTACTGGAGCGCATATGCTTCAAGAAGAGCCTTTTGTATCATCATAGAAACTGCCAAATTAAATGAGTAACCAATCCTATTCCCGCTCTTTCTCCCTTGGCAAAAGCACCACAATAAAAAAAGAAGAAAGAAAGAAAAAGAAAAAATTAATCAGGGGTTTTGCCAGTGGACTGTCATTCGCTATTTAACCACGAGATGCCACAGCTGCTCAAAATCATGATCCTTTGACATCCTCAGGTCAGCCAATGACAACATCAGCATCAACACACCACTATGCATTATGTTGTGTAGTACAATGACAATTTAGAATTATTGTTATTTTAATACAATATTAAAAGATTGCTTTTTAAAATATATGTAATTATGGGGTCAGAAAGATTTTTTTAAATAAATTAATACTTTTATTTAGCAAAAGCATTTTAAATAGTTTAAAAGTGACAGTAAAAGACATTTATGTCTTTATAATGTTACAAAAGATTTCCATTTCAAATAAATGCTGTTCTTTTAAACTTTCTATT